CGAACCGATATGCAGGTCGCTGTACACGTGGACGAACTATGAATACAGTGGCGACGAGCAGGTGGCAGAGCACCGACAATTTATTTATAACGCCCGGCGAGCCGTTCAACTTCACCCTCTTCCTACACGTCCAGCTTTACAGGGTGATTACAAAAAGAAACAAAGACCATGCAAATTTTTTTTTCTATCACACCACAATACTTAGGAACAATTTAACTGAATAAATTTCTGAAGAGGCACACTATTTGTTGATCACCCTATAGTTTGGAAAATTCAATTTTAAAACAATCGGTTTTTGTTCGAAGACAATTTTATCCTACTTTACGAGTAAGTTTCTTATCACTCACACCAGAATCCTTGGGAACAAATTAACAGAATAAGTTTTTCAACGGGTACATTGTTTTTTTATCACCTTGTGGTTCGGAAAATTCAATTCTAAAACTACTGTTCTCTGTTCAACGAAAGATTTATCCTATTTGTAATCAGTAAGTTTCCTATCACTGGCACCATAATCCTTGGGAACAATTTAACAATAAGTTTCGAAGAGTTTCAAACTATTGTTTCTTGTTCAAAGAAACGTTTATCATACTTATAATAAGTACAATGACGAAAAATTACAATTGACTTAAATTTACAATTCTTCCAAAAAGTAATAGATAAAACATTTGTTATATTTTTAATAAATAAATTTATAAACTAGAAGTGAAGTTTCTGTTACTTTTTATCGATGTTAAGAGTATTTCTTGAAATTACTGTGATCTTTTCGTAATCCACAAACGATGAAACGGAGAAAATTGCATCGTTTGAATGCTGAATATGATTTTTACAGGGACGACAACGGGAATCACCGTAGCCACGCAGCCCACGTGTTTTCCTCCGATTAATGCCGCGAAATGCAGGATTAACGTCCACGGTTTCTGCCGAAACGCGTGGGCACGATCGATATTTCCTTGAATCCCTGCCAATTCGATACTTTACGCCGCCCCGTGAGCTCGCAACCCGCCGAGCAATTAATACACGTGCAACGATTCACGAAATTACAGGAAATATTTTACGAACCACGTGCAATTTTCTCGCACACTTGGCCCAAAAAATGGCCACATACTTTTTCCATAACGTTCCAAATCATTTGACACTTCGAGATCCCCTTCGAACTACGTGATTCCCCATAAACCTTCAATTTATGGTTTGGCGGGAAATTCAAACTTCCGAAACAATTTCCAAAAATTCTCTCCTTCCTAACCCTTTATAAAATTCACAGTCCTACTTCATACAATACTAAATAAAACGTCTCTTTCTATCAACATTCTTAAAAAAGATTTAAATAAACATTCCCAGTAGATTAACATTTATGGTATCCTAAGGTACAAAGAAAGGTCTTGGTTTCTAAATAAATTACCCACGAGACCCCATGATCTTTACCCATTTCACTCTTGAAGGAACGTTTCACCAAAGACCTTTGGCATTAAAGATTTTTCTCTGATCGAGCTTCGTTCAAAGTCCCGAGAGTGTTTGGCGATGATCGAAGCTGGTGGATCCTGGAATTTCGAATTGTGGGGCGCAAAGTTCAAGTGCAATGATTGGTCTCAAAGTCCAGCAGTCGTGTGTGACCGCCAGGAACATGCTCCAAGGCAGTCGGCAAACAAAATTTCCACGGACGGCCTTGGGTTATGGATTTATTGGCACCATCGGCGGGCTTTATCAATCGCCTTGACCGTGAAGCTTACGGAGGGATTACGCAACGGTGGCTGGCAAATATTCCGCGTGGTCTCGCGGGTCAAAGTCGAGCCCCGGGACTGCGAGCAAGTTATCGACCGTGACGCGAAAGTTTCTATTTTCTCGTTAAACAGCGGGACCCGCCGTGCTCGTTGCATTTCGCGAAACGAAAACAGCTCGTAAACATCCCCTCTCCGCCCTAGATACACACGTAGAAATAAACGGATGCAAACAAGAGGGCACCGTTTAAACAGTACGTTACGATCGTCGTACAAATCAATCCTCACGAATTTTCCAAGTGACCCTATGTTTGATCGTAAATTCTGTCCTGGTTTTATTCTTTTTCTTTCGATTTTATACGTGGATACGGTTAGAAATTCTAGGAAAGAATTTTAAGGAGTATTGGGGTTCTCACGTTTTTTAAAATAATTTCTTTTTCGGAAGAAGAGACAGAGATTCTAGGTATCTATAATTTTGTCTTCGAGGGGAATTCAGAATGGCTAGTTTTAATACTTTTCTTAGAAAGTAAACGGGGTAGTTTACAGAGAACGTATAATACTTCAACTTTATTAGTAGTCTATTCTATGGTTTCAGTCATTTAATATGATGGATCTTTAATTAGCATTGTGGTGTTGAAGTTTCAAAGGATTCAGTAAATTTTTAGAAGAATTAATGTTTTGCTAAATAGTTTTTGTCCAAATATTTGTGCAAACCTGTCCAAACATTTGTACAAACTTGTCCAAACATTTGTGCAAACCTAAACCTAGCCAAGCATTTGTTCGAACCTGTCAAAATATTTGTGCAAACTTGTCCAAACATTTGTGCAAACTTAACCAAACACTTTTAAATATTGCGAATAATTTTACACCACATTCTTCTTGCAACATTATCCTTATTATCATTGTTTTAAAATATATTCTTCAATCTCATTTCCCTATCATCAAGTGTACTACTAAGTAATCCGCTAAATGTTGTCACATTCAATATTTATGTTTCAAAAGATCGGAAATCTCTACTGCTTCAATAATGTACATCTTCGTTCTTCAACATCCGCCGCCATTTTGAAAAAAGAAAAGGCGGGAAGACATACTGAATTCAAACTACGTCACCATTTCATTCAAACAGTGGCTTACCCTTTTGCACACGTAATAGGAAGGAATATTAATAATTTTTCAATTGCAGTTTTTAATTTTAAACATACACCTAACAAATAAAACGAAGAAAACTTGAGTCTGCGGATCGTTCACGTGTGCTCCAGGTCCTTAACAAAAACGGACTACCTTGACCCGGCTACGTGACACCCGCGATATTTCGCGCGAATTTTAAACCGACAAGGAGATCATCGCCGAAAAATCGTTTCCTAATAGAGGAAGTCGAGGCTGCCCGGTCAAAATTCTGTTTGGATTTCCAAGAATTCGCGAGGCTACCGGCCCGCAGCTATAAATCCCGCTCATCAGGGAGATACGGTCCTTGCCCGTCGATTATATCGAGGTCAATTTCCCCTCGTGTCACAAAACTGATTAACACGTTCACTGTCATGACGGTCACCGGTGACCGACGCAGAACCATCCGTCCACGCTGTGTCGGTTATCGGTGTATCCATAGAATCTCCTAAAAATTTTATACATTTGGTAGTTTGAAAAACTATTTGAAACTGTATAGGATTCAGTGCTACAAATTATTATAAATTTTGGTAAAACAAAAATATAATATTTTGAGACTATTACGATGAAAACCTCATTAGTCCATTCTAGTTAATTTTTTACAAATAAATATATTAACTTTATATAAATTTTTAATAAATTGTTAACTTTATAATCATTTTCAACTTAATTATATTTTTCATAATAAATTTCTTTCATTTTTAACGAATTGTTAATGAATTATTAACCTTATAATAATCTTTAACTTTAATCAATTTTTCGAAATCAATTTTCTTTTCATTTTGAATGCATTTTTAATAAATATTTAACTTTACAATAATTTTTAACTTTAATCAATTTTTCATACTCAACTTTCTTTCACTGTTAATGGATTTTTAATAAGTTTCTATCTTTATAACAACTTTTAACTTTAATCAATTCTGTATAATAAATTTGTTCATTTTTCACATTATTAATTCGGCATATTTATTTTATCATGTTTATACAGGAAGAGTGTCTGTTCAGTTCACTTTTCATTAAAAAGTAATCTACAACTTTAATTGGCAGACGAATGAAACGTTTGACGAGTACGAGTAAATGAAACTTATTGCAAGACTAATTAAATTACTCGACGTTGATTCATATCGGACTCATTCCGTGGGCAAACCTATTGTAATTCTGTGTTTCGTTAAATTTACGTATCGTCGGACAAATGGAGCGCCGGTGACGTTTGTTGGGATACGTGCTCGAAGCACTTAATCGAATCGTGACGTATCTTCCGGCGGGATTGAGAAATGTGACGTGGTCTCGGACCGGTTGCGATAATGAAATTTTTATCGTGGAAATCGCGCGACAAATTAATCGCGATGAAATTTCACACGATAATTCGTGGTGGCGATAAATATTCACGAAGACCCACGAAAGAAGTCTCGTGACGAATCGATCAATTGATCGAGACTGGAAATTTTTCTAAAATCAACATCTAGGTGAATTTTATTTCCGCTGAGAGAACTTCTAAATAACATACTTATTAAATTAATTTTACAAAAAATTTAACTAGTAAAAACATTAAATTCTGCAATGTTAGAATCTACCCCTTCCATTTGTTAACAATAATAACGTAATGTACAAATTTGTCTACTCAGCTACCAATATTCAAAATTAATCGATATTAATTAATTTCTAGTTGTTAGGATACTTCATTAAGATTTCACGAAGTTTAAATAAGTTACAGTATTCGTTTGAAGAAGGTTCAATGTAGTTAGTCAACAATAACAATTTAATAATTTAATTCAAGTTTGTATAAGAAAGTTCAAGTTTGTTAATCATAGTTTGAGCTTGCATAGTAAGGTTTCAACCAGTACTCTATGCACCCTAAACTGCATTTCGTCGAGCCAGATGATTTTGATCTGACTGTACTTGCTATCCCAGGCTTTATTGCCATCAATCTTCCCTAAACACTTCAATCTCTAAGAGGTTCCCCTACCCTTCCCCCGTCGCCAAGAAACCAGGTCTTCTCGAAAGATTGCCTACAAAGTCGTGCTGGATGCTGCGCGACTATTCACCGTAAGAACGAAGGGTGGACGGAGAAAAGGGAGGCGAAAATGAGTACCCAAAGTAGAGAACACGGTCGTTGCTTACCTTCAGCGAGGCCATGTCGGACACGGATCGATGCGTCTGAATGGTTTCCAACTGGTCTAAACACCAGTCCAGCTCCTCCATCGTCTCCACGGCCAGTTTCTGGTAGTGCTCCTCTGCAAAGCGAACGGAAACGGCCACGTTACAGAGACGATACGCTCGTGTCAAAGGGAGAAGCGGAGGGCCAGGTGCTCTCGAACAGGGATGCAAAGTTAATCGCGACATAAAGAGGATTTTCGACGGTTGAAAGAGTGATCTCTACGTCGTGGGGGCTAATTTTCGAGGAGAATCCAGAGGTATACGTGGACGGAGCCGTTAATTGAATCGTTGACTCGAAAGAACTGAAGGAAGAAGAGATTGTGAATGATCATGAAACGGAGCAAAATATGTGGATGACAGAATAATTCCGATTTTCAGGTTACAATAAATAATTTATATAGTAATTCCACGATAAATAAAGTTAATATGTTTATCATTTTTATTCTTTTCGCAATATTTACTATTGTAAAATAATTTATTACCGTATGTTCGATTAATTAACGCATCATGGTTTTTTTCGAAACGTTATACTTTCGATCTATTTCGCGACATGCCTTCCGGAGGGAAATTCGAACTTCTGGATTCTTTTTTCAAGGATATGTAAATGAATGCTTTTAATGGTTATAAATAACGACTGATGTTTATCTACCTGTTCGTTGATGCGAAAGAAATACCTGGCAATAACACATTTTTTGCTCAGGCTACTTATCGGAAACTGCCTCTAGGAAAGGATTTTTTAATGAGCAATTCTTACGACTCAATGCGCGGTGAAAGAGCTGAAAAGCGAAATATTCTGTGCTTCAATGGGAGAACTTATTAGAACGGCAAGGAGATTATCAGGAGTGGGCGAAATTAAAAGAAACGTTAAACCTTGTGGAAGATTGAAGGTTGCATAAGATACACAGCCGGGAGAACGGTTCGGACGCGAAACAAGAATGGAAGGTGAATTTACGTCAGAATGTTGGTAGACACGTGGCGTCGAACCGAATGGAAAAGTAAAAAAATGGAAAAAGCGACTGCACTGGGATTCCAATTTGCTAAGAGAAATCTGCGGGAAACGGTGCCCGATTAAAGTTAAAATAAACGGGATTAAATTTAACGGAAATTTTAGTTCGTAGAATCTTATATCAACTTTATAATTAATTATTGGAAAATATGAAGTAATTTTGAGGGGATATTATAAGTATGTAGAATGCCCCTCGAAAGGTCACAGGATCGTAACATATAGTGTGATATGCGATACATTTTCCCCAGTGCAATTAATTTTGTTTCGTGAAATACTGTTTTCTTACCTCCTGGCGCCAAAATCCGGGGCTGCGGTGTGCTGCTGCCCTGCGCGCTGCTACTCCTTCGTGATCTAGAAAGCAAAATTTACATCAAAACAAGAAAGAATAGTGAAAAAAACAATAAACGCTAAATTTTATTTACTGTAATTTAAATAAAATTCTGTCATCGAGAAATATTTTCCTTAAATTGGAAATTAATCGAATCGTCTTAAAAGAATTTTAACATGTTTGGTTAACAAAATTCTAACATTTAAATTTATCGATTATTTGAATGATTTTTTGAATATGAATTATTTACTAATAAATATTCTGTACTCCTTCCAAAGGCTGTATCAATTTTTCCATATAAATATAATGCAATATATTGAACATCATCAACATTATTTATCACTAATATTTATAATCCTAATAACAATTTTTAGGCATAGAATATACAACGCATGGTTACCTACAATTGACTAATTCCAGCTGGATTGTATACTAAAGGGTTATACACCCCCGTACATAAATAAATAAATAAACAAATAAACAGTAACTAAATATTCAGAATTGTCGCCATAATCAATTGTACAGCCCAGCAAGACATTACAGTAATTCTAGCTAACCAATTGTCATAGTAAAAGTTATTTGTTAATTTATAGTTATACTCACTTGTTCGTGGGCACATTAGTGAGCGACACGAAGTTGTTCCTGACCGAGCGCAAAGACGCAAGGATCTGCGCGAAAGGCGTGACAATGAGGTCCTCGCCATGACTGCAAATAAACTGCAAGGGATATTCAAATTGCAACGAACTCGTCTACTTGATGTTTCGAAAGCTGCACTCTATCGACATGCAAGCGTGACGTATCAAAGTTGCAAACTGTACACCGTTCACTTTCTTCTCTAATAGGATCACGCGCGACATTACTGTACTCGCCTTTACCTTTAAGTCCCCTTAATGGAGAATTCAAATTGCACAGTGACTGGGAAGAAATTTCATGTAAGAGAAAATGCACTTTCTTTCATGGACAGTAGATTGTATAATTTCACGGATACTTTGTGGTACAGACTGTAGTATACAGGGTGAATCACGAAACGTGGTCGGCTTAGATTATTCTACTGTCAGCTGTTCAATTGAAATTTTTTTTATCTATTGTAATATGATTGAAGGAGAGCTTTAAGACGATTGTACCAATATTTTTGATAATCCCCCTTTTTCCAGAATTTTCGAGGTCACTTTCAGTTTTTTTTTTATAAATGAACATATAATTTTCTTTTTGTTCATCGTTTAATATTGAGACTAATTCGGCAAGTATCGTAACAAATCATTTTTTTTGTTCTAAAACATTATAGGTGGAATAATCTAAGCTGCTCACGTTTCGTGGTTCACCCTGTAGAATTCAATGTGGCTGACTTGTCTGATGCGCATGCGCGACCGTGAGGTGGGAGAGTCAGCTGACCCATTAGGCAGTGGTTCTCAATACTACAATTGCTTACTGACATGTGACTCAAGTGAATTATTGAATTTATGATGTTGGTAAATTAAAAGTGACAAATGTTTTCATTTAACTAATTTATGAAGTTTTATTTTATACTATATTATCCTTGGTATTATATCGTATACTCTCTAAACGTAGTAACGATATAATAAATTAAAGTCAAGAGTTAGGATTGTTTATTCAGCAATTGATATTATATATGTGTCCCCTGTGACAGAGGAACTGAATAATTTCTTGTGTAAACTGTGTATTATGTAGGAAGAAATTGCTAGAGAAGAAAGTAATTTTCATATGGAAATACCGTCCGTTGCTCTATTAAATTCTCTACGGTGCTTATCAATAATCCAATTTTCCTGGAGATTCTTCAACTCGACCCGAGATGAATATAAATTGGAATGCCTATTTAATTATTTATGAGTTCATGGAGACAAATTATCCAGGATCGCATACAGAAAAATTTTATTTATTCTTCGCTACATCGCTAACAATTTTCAGCTCCTCCTGAAAGGTTATTTACTTTAATTTTGGTCCGAGAAATTCGATATAGTCTACTGGAAGATCCTAATTAACAGAATTTAATTTGGACGAAAATTTATCGAAGATATTTTACTCGCTCCAACATACATTAATAAAATTCAATATTGACGTTGTTTCTAATTAACAAAATTCATACCGAGCGAGCAGCCCGTTCTCATTAACAAATTGTAATTAGGGGAGCTAGCGAGCCAGACGAATTTGCTCCTCAGAGAACAAACTGAACGTCACGAATATTCAGCGAGAAACAATTCATAAGTGACAGAATTTAATACTAAAGTTTCTGTTTGGTGAAATATCATTCCACGTCTAAAGAATACAATAGGACGTAAACTATTTTGCTAAAAATACAAATTAACCTTTATAAATAAACCTCACAAAGATATGTTTTCATGAACTTATTTAAAAAAAACAACAATAGAAAACATAGATAAATAAAATGGACAGTTAATTCCCACGATTAATATAATAAAATTTTATTTAAATCTATTGCAAATATGTTATATATTCATAAAAATTTTCTCGATACATTAGATGCAGTAAGGAGTGATTCATACATTTTTTTGGAATTTAGATCGTTAATATTTTGTTAGGAAAGAATTAATATATTTTTTTTTCATTAATATTCGGGTGTCAGAGGAATCATAAGATTCGCTATTTTTTTACCATTTTCCGTTCCCTTGTATCTGATCATGTTTTCCACCTTGCAATTTTATAATATCAAAAGATCGATCGTGCAAGCTCACGCTAATTAGATCACACGCCATCCGAGTGTACAATAAATGATTTTACGCTCACGCAGCGAGATTCTTGTAAGGTCACAGGTCAAAATGGCCGTTTACAGATCACCTGTGCGCCATTAATCGATATATTATCCTAACACTGTCATTGATAATCACGGATTAATTAACCCAGTCCCGCTAATTGGCAAATTTTCACCACGGTTAACCTTCTGTTCGCGACAATGAACATACCCTACGCTGGAAAATTTCCCTGAGGCATCTCTTAATAACGAATGGCTATGACGCAGTCGACTTTTGTTCCATATTGGAAAACTCGATCATTTCCTTTTCGTTTTTTAAACTGCACTTCACAATTCACGTTATTCGCAATTTATATAAAATTTATGTGAGATTTATGTAAAATGGAAGTTTGTATAAAATTTATGTAGGGTGGAAATTGATACAAAATTTCTATAAAATGAAAATTTATATAAAACGAAGCTTTATATAAAATTTCTGTAAGATGAAAATTTATGTAAAATGGAAATTTAAATCAACTTTATTTAGTCTGCTTTTCTGTCCAATTCTTTGGACGAAAACACTTCTGTCCTTTATAATAACAGTGATGTTCCTTTCTATACATTTTTCACGACGTCACGCCTCGACCCCTAAATTTCACAGATCTCCCAAGCGTAATGGCTGACAGTATTCCAGAAAATTATCAGAAGAAATTACTCTGAACTGGTGAGACGAGCTCAGTGCGCGTGCACGATTGCTTTCGTCGAAACAGAGACACGTACGACCCCTATTAAAACCACGGACCGAGTATTCTTTCTAAATTATAATATATTTTAAAAATTTCAATTTTTCATTTATTTTAAATTCTACAGAAAAAAAATCAGTGATTTCATCACAGAAATATCATTAACCCATTAAGCACACGTCCATTAAGAAAAATCGAAAATTATACGAATTTTTTCTTCATATACCGGTCAGACTAGTTTGTTGTAACTGTTGAACCGAACTGACCGGTTGGAATGTTACTCACTCACAATATCCGTCTCACTCGACGATCGAAAAGTGGCCTAAATACAGTAGGAACGTTTCCATCTCCCTCCACTTTCGCCTCCTTGGTGGGGGAAACGATTCACTTTTTGCCTCGACCGATAAAACTTACCCTACTACGGCTAAAGAAGTGTCACTTCAAAAAGTACAGTAAATCACCGATAGATGTCAAAGGCTCAACAGAGTGTTTAAACGTTATCCCCACCACTAAGCGCTTGACTGGTTCCGTGAGGGACCCCCAGTAGCGTGGATGACGTCAGAACACTTACAATCAATGCCGAGGTCACCTCGAACACTTATCGATCAGTTACTGTAATATAAAATGCAATCTACAGTAGAACTAGGGTTATTGTCATCATTATCCGAAAAATACTTTTAAAAAATTCGATGTCCCAAGACTCCTTGGACACTGTAGATCAACCCTAGATGATTCATAACGACTTGGAGACGCCCACTTTATGGTTATTTTAGGTCTAAGGCGCCCTTGAGCCGTCTTCAAGGCATCATGTGCTATCGGAGCATTGAAATCCCATCCCTTTGTTCGAGCACCTCCAGCGGCTCTCTGTGACGCGGACTGAAGCGTATTATTACAAATTGAAGAAAAGCTGGAGCATGACTGACGCACAGAACACGTCACCGCGTCGCGCGAAACACGTATCATTCAACGAAATTTCGTATTCACCTGGTGAAATTTGACAGGCGTGAGCGCCAACCGCGTTTTACTATTTCTTTTTCCGTCCGCTTCACACCAAACGAAATAAATTATTCAAACGTTTCAAATGTTATTCCTAAATATGTTTATTTTGTCAAGATTTTCTGAAAAGTAAACATTTTTCATAGAATAACCTAACCCAGGCCTAACAAGGACATAATAAAGACGTAATAAAGACGTGATGTAGACCTAGTGCAGACCGGACAAAATTACTATGTAGAGTTTAATTGTAACTGTAAAATAAACCATGTTTAAGTGTTTTTTTAAGTAACGAGACCTGAAATTATAATTATTTTACTATTATTATTTAGTAAAGTCACAAATATCCAAACCAGAAAATATACCCTTGACGGGTAGGAAATTGCTTCTCAATGCTGCAGCGATTCGTTACCGAAAAATACAAAAATTAATCATCCGCTGAATCCCCCTTAACGAAAGCGTAATCAGCAAATTGACTGCAATTTCCTCTCCATTCAAACGGAATCAAATATCAAAATTTTCCCTCCCACAATATTCCACATTCGACCGTCCTTTCGGACTATCATTTGTCACCAGCTAAGCTTTCTATCGTGTCGAGTTTTTCAACGTGATCGTCAACGACCTCCGAAAATTCAAATCTAAATTCGGGGAGTGATGATATATACACGGTAGTGCGGTTTAAAAATAAATTCCCATTTCGTGAAAGTAGCTGGCCGGTTTAATTGTGTTTGTTTTTCAACAACTGAAAACTCGCGGCGGCGGAGCCGAGAATAGTTTCCCTGGAAAACTCTAAATGAGCTTCTGGCCTTTCTCCAAAAACACGAATTTATTTTGCGCGCCCGACGGTCATTTACTTGATTCATTATTCCGGACGCATCGAAACCGATAAACACGCGGTTGATAAATGTTAAAGCCATCCATGAATGAGTCCCTTGAATGTCAGCCAATTACGCTAGTCGTTCAGTTTCGCGTTGCGTAACGTTTTGCGCTCAGTTCTATGAAGGTTGCCGTTTCCATCCCGAAACATAAAGGATTGAATTTACGTAAGTGACGAATCATCGATCATCAATGCAAAATAGAAGAAACATCGTTTAAATCCTTGTTAACTATATTTCTAGTAAAACCTTGCATCATTTTGAAAAATTGTTACTAAAAATTCATCAAACGCTTGTTCCTTAAATAAATATGATAATAAATTGTCAACAATTATACATAAGAGTGCTCAAGGATATCATTGTTTACCTCTCCAGTAATCAAAGTGC